TCACTATGACAATTATGTCCAGTTTGAGCCGCAACACTGTTTTTTTTCTTTCTTTGCATAGAAGAACTTCAGTGCAGGTCGGCGGTACGGGGGCAGAGAGCGGACTCACCAGAGACAGAGTGGGGATCAGAACAGGCAGATCTACTGAAATACACTGCTGAGGGGAGCAGCAGCTGAGACAGGGGAGATCTGCTGCGCCATGTGGGTCAGCTCTGTGGCTGGGAATTGAACTCCCAGACATGAGACTTACCCCCCTGAGCAACCAGGGAGGCCCCAAGTCAGGACACTGTTACAAAAACTAATGGGTAGCATTACCTCTACTATCTTATATAGTAGCTTTAAAGACTAATTGGGAGAACACCTCTGAAAGTCCCTAATTCAGCACCATCTAAATCTATTTTCAGTACAGACTCCTGAACTCCAAGCTGATGTCTGCTCTCCACTTGGATAATTAATTTCAAGCATAATGTGACCTAAAGTAAATTACTGATCCCTTTTCACCCCCAACCAAAACTTTTCCATCTGTGGTCTTCCACATCTCAATTTGTGTCACACTTTCACTTGCTCATACTGAAAACCTTGGAATCATCCTTGACTCTTCTCTCTCTTACCCAGCATGCAAACACACAAAATTCTGTTCTATCTTCAAAGTATATTTAAAATTTAAAACTTTGTTCTTGAAAGACACTATTACAAGAATGAAAAAACAAGCCACTAACTGGGAAAAATTATTGGCAAACTATGTATCAGATAAAGGTCTCATATCCAGAATATGTAAAAAAAATTCTCAAAGTTAATTAAAAAGGCACATAACCCAGTTCAACATGGGAAAAGATTTGAACAAACACTTCAACAAAGAAGATATACAGATGGCAAATGAATACACAAGTGAACACATACAAAGGTGCTCGACATCATTAGTCATTGGGGAAATACAAATTAATGCCACAATGAGGTATACAGTCATATTTGTATCAAATGACTAATGTCAAAAAGATTAACCAGACCAAATGTTGAGTGTGTAGAACAACTGGAACTCTCATACCATCATGGGAATGTAAAATTGTATAAACAGTTTTGAGAACTTCCGCAGGGCCCATCAATATGTAAATAAACAGATTATCCACATAATAGAATACCAATCAGCATAAAAAGGAATAGACTACTGATACATGCAACAATATCGATTAAGTTCAAAGTCTTTATGTTTAGTGGAAGAAGCTGGGCAACAATGAGTAATACTATGTTTCCATTTATATAGAATTCCAAAAAATGTAAATTAATTTATTGTGACAGAGAGTAGATCAGTGGTTGCCTGGGGATGGAAGTGTATGAGGAAACATTTGAGAGTACTGGATATGTTTGTTACCTTGAGCATGGTGATAGTTTTATGGTTGTATACGTATATTAAAATTTATCAAATTGCACATTGTATATATGTGCAGTTTATCATATGCTAATTACAGACCTCAGTAAAACTCTTTGGCAAAACAGAGTAAAATGTATTCAGATTGTATCACCCTATCATCATTGTTATTGTTGCCATTTGGTTTCATCCATCCCTGATTTATTCCAACAGCCTCCTAACTGGTGTCCCTGCTTTTTTTTTTTTTTTTTTTTATGACTCACATCCCCCTTTCAATCTAGTCTCAGCACAACCAAAATGTTCCTTTAAAGTTCTTAGGTCATGGGCCTCCCTAGTGGTTCAGGGGTTAAAATTTCAGCACTATCAAAGCTATCATCAGCCACTGCAGCACGAGTTGGATCCCCAGCCAGGGAGCTGACCCACATGGCTCAGCAGACCTCTCCTGTCTCCCTGCTGCTCCCCTCAGCAGTGCATTCCAGTCACTATTCTGTTTCTCACTCTGTCTCTGGTGAATCCTCTCACCCCCGTACCTCTAACCTACACCCCCGTTCTTGTATGCATATATAAATAAAAATAAATCTTTAAAAAATAATTAAAGTTCCAGGTAATGTCTCTCCACTTCAAATTCCTGTAATGGCTCACTCGCCCATTCAAAATAAAAGCCCAGGGCCCTTTCTAGAGAGTAGAATCAAATAAAGGGATAAGGATTATGAGAGGTTTGAAATATATATGAGGAGTGTTGAGGCAACCAGAAACTGTCAAATGACAAAACAAAAATAATTTGCTAACAAGTTTGCTGTCCTTTATTCAAGAGGAAGCAGCCCATGGATTCAGGGAATATGCCTCACAAACAGGGAGTACTCTTCCTGAGGGATTTTGAACAAGAATATGTTTTAAAGAGCATTAGAAGAGGCAACTCTGAAACAGGACATGATTCGCTGGGAGTGTGTATCCGACCTTGTCTAGAAAGATCAAGGAAATAAGCATAAAGTCCAGAGTTGGTTTGGGGATTAACTGACAGGGCATAATGCATTTCTGGTCAAGGAGAGCATTTATAGGAACATGAAAATTCAGTTTACTGACTTGGTATCCCAGACAGGAACAACGCCATCTTGGACCTAGAAATTTATTCCAATAAGACATCGTAAGGGCCCTCCCTGATGGCACAACTGGTTGAAGCACATCCCCATGAAGCTACCACAGCCACTGCAGCATGAATTCAGTCCCCAGCCAGGGGGGTGACCCACATGGCACAGCAGACCTCTTCTGACCTACCCACTGCTCCCCTCAGCAGTGTATTTCAGTCAGTCGGCCTATTCTGCTCCCCACTCTGTGTCTGGTGAATCCTCTCACTCCATACCCCCTGTACATCTTACCCATACCCTAGTTCTGTATCTATAAATAAATAAAAAAATCTTTTAAAAAAGACATCATAAAGAAGAATAAATTTAGTGAAAGCATAATCCTCCTCTTAACTAGTTAAGGGTTATTATAAGGAAGAAGTGGTACATTTTCTCGGAGATGGCCCATATGACAGAGCTCGCCCAAACAAGCCAGATGTGGGCCCATACTAGAACTTTTTCACACTTAAAATTGTAATGGGCTGCTATAAAAGAATAAACCCCCATTCTACAAGAGCAAACAAAATCATCAAAAATTGAAGAGACAGGGCCTCCCTGGTACAGTGGGTTAAAGCACAGCACTGAGAAGCTAAAGCCACTTCAGCATGAGTTCGATTCCCACCTGCCCTGGAGGTGACCACATGGCGTGGCAGACCTCTCCTGACCCGCCCGCTGCTCCCCTCAGCAGTAAACTTTGTCAGTCAGCTTGTTCTGCTCCCCACTCTTGTCTCTGGTGAATGCTCTCACTGCCCCTGCACCTCTGGCCTGTACTTCAGCTCTATAAATAAATAAATCTTTAAGAAAATAATTGAAGAGACAATGGTCAAATTAGATGACCTTGAAAAGTTTCTTCTAGTTCAAGTTAATTCATTTTTTAAGTTCATTTATTCCTCACAACTGAATTGTGGAGTTAATTGTTCAAATGCTCTTTTTACCTGACAAGGTCATGTCAAAAGTAACTTCATACCTCATAATGGCTATGATTAATTATTTTGGCAGCAGAGTCATATGTCTGAAAATTACATTATTTCAGACCTTTTTTAGTTCGAAAATTAGAATATTACGTTACTGGCATTTTTAACCTTCAAAGCTATCATTACTAGTATCATTGAATAAAACCTCCATTCTCCTACAATTCAGTAGAAGTTTCACATTTAAGAATTTGGACTTTGCTTTGATTAAGCTTCTTCAATTAAAGAATATTTATTGAAGTAACATTGGTTTATAAAAGCCATTGTATATATTTTAGGAGTATGTGTTCACACTTCTTCAAAAGTCTGTCACCACACCACATGCACTGCATTGGGCCCCTTCACTCTAGGTATCCACCACTTGTCCCCCACGCCCCCTCCAGTATCTAGTAACCTAAATTCTGTAGCCAGAATCCAAGGGTCTGTTTGGGTTTGGTTTTATCTGTATGTGAGTGAATAGTACAGTATTTGTTTTTCTCCTTCTAAATAATGTCTTCTTAGGCATTATCCCTTCAAGTTCCAACCATATTGTCATACATAGCAAGATTTCATCTCTTTTAGATGAGTAGTATTCCATTGTGTGTATCTAGCACATTTATTTATCTGGTCATCCCTTGATGGACTCTTAGACTGTTTCCATGCCTTGGCTATTGTAAATACTGCTGCAATGAACATAGGAGTGTAATTAGCTTTTTTAATTAGTGTTTTCATCTTCTTTGGATCATTACTTGCTTGCTGACTTGCTGGACCATAGATCATAAGTCTATTTTTAATATTTTGAGAAACCTCTATACTGTTTTCTGTAAGGCTGAACCAGGCTATGTACTCACCACAGAATCTGTTTATTTCTTTATTTCTGCTTTTGATTCCCTTAGTATTTGTCCCCAAAGACATCACTGAGACCAGTGTAATGGAGTATGTTCCCTGTGTTTTTCCTCTGCATGTATTAGGGTTTCAAAGTCTTGCATCCAAGTCTTTAATTCATTTTGAATTAACTTTGTGAATGGTTGGGGTAGTAGTTTAGTTTCATTTTTTAATTTGGCTGTCCAGTTTTTCCAACACCATTGGAGACTTGCCTTTCTCCATTATATACACTTGGTTCTTTTGTGATAAATTAACCATTAAGTGTGGGTTTATTTGTGGCCTTTCAGTTCCATTGCATTTGTGTGTATGTCTGTTTTTGTTCAATACCATGCTGCTTTTACTACTGTAGATTTGTGGTATAATTTGAAGTTGGAGAATGTAATACCTCCATTATTCTTTTTTCAGGATTGCTTTGTTTACTTGGGGTCTTTTGTGGCTCCAAACAAATTTCAGTAATGTTTGTTCTATTTCCTTGAACAATGCCATAGGAAATTTGATAAGGATTACATTAAATCTATATAGTGTTTTGAGTAAAATGGCCATGCTGACAATATTCTTATGTACCCATCAGCATGAAATCTTTCTATTTATTTGCTTCTTCTATCTTTACTTCTTCTTCTCTGGCCTTTTTCACCATTAAAATGGTTATATGTGTCCATTGTATTTCTTCTTTTATAGGAACGAGATCGTTATGCCTACAAGATTCATCTGCCAGAAACAGTAGAACAACTGAGGAAGTTTAATGCAAGGAGGAAACTAAAGGTAAGTTAAAGACCAGCAAAAAAATAAAGAGATAAAACTGATAATAATGTTTTGCTGCCTGTAAGTATATCCTCGTATTGGCTATTGTTTTTCTTATGTCTAAAATCTCACTTTCAAAAATGTCGCCATTGCAATAAGATTTTTAAATTAAGACAATAGCTAAGAATGAATATAAACAGCACATGGTAATAAATGAAAGATTATTCATATTTTAGATTTGTGTTATCTTTAAAACTGATAAAAAAAAATAATTTTCTATTACTATCCATTGTTGTTAAATGTGAATCTAGGCCATATTTCCTAAAATTTAAATGTTTAATTTAAATGACAGAAGGTAAAAGTTTAATTCAGTGGAAATAACACCATAGTAGAACTGGAGCTAGAATTTAACCCATTGTTGGAAAGCAATAAATGAAATCTTCATTCCTTAAGTCTACTAGAAAATATATTCAGATTATTTTTCTCACCTTTTCCTTATACTTCCTCAGTACCTTTTCTTTTTTTCACCATTTTCAGTCATTCCCCTTACCTCACCGCACCTTCCCCAAAAAACAAAATGGAATTACTCCATAAGAGGACCCCATTTGACTTTAAAACATTTGAAAAGAAAAAAAAAACGAACATTAAAAAAATGGAGTCTTCTTTGCAAAAACTTATGGTACAGCAGTTATCCTCTTCCCAACAGAGAAACTTTGTTGTATTATGGACTTAAAGTTAGCATGTTTAATTTGTTGTTGACTACTGTAAAAGATAAAGACAAACTCTGTCCTCTAAGTGGTTGATTGGGTAGTAGTCTTCAGTCGTATGACGACTAATAGCTGTAACACTTTTATTGGGAACTATTTTCAGATATATTATAAGTTGTAATAATCTTATTAATTCATTATTATTCAATGCCTGAAATATGTGAATGATTATATGCAACCCTAGATTTATAAGAACATTTATATTACTTTTGAGGGAAGCCTATACACAATATTATCTTATAGAACTGAACTGTCCAACATGGTACCTGCTCGCCACCTGTAGCTATTTAAATGTAAATGAATTAAAATTAAATCAAATCAGTGCCTGGCTTTGCTAGGACATTTCAAGTGCTAAATAGCCCTATATAACTAGCAAGTACCATATTAGAGAGTACAACTATACGTAGGACATGTCCGTCATTGCAAAAATGTTCTATTTGACAGTGCTACCAGAGAGCAATTTTAGCATGTCATTGTTGGTGATTATTAGCAGTTAAGCCTTTTTCCCAGTTATTTTTGTGGTCCAGAGTTCAAACTGGTTCTTCTCCATTTGCTTTAAAATTCTTTGGCAAAATATTAATAATGGCATGCCATTACTGAGATTGATGCTCCCCCCACCCAAATTTCCCAAGACTTTTATTTCTTTATTTTGAACTGAACTCAAAAAAAAGATCTTATTCAAAGTGAAATTTGGTTAGTTGTTTTGGATATTAGTTTACCCCATAAGGAAATGATTACCAATGCTTCTTTCTCAGTACTTCCCTAATGTTTTTACTCTCATACTTCTTTGGCCGATTTGACATCACGTTCGCTGGAGTTGAACTTTTCATAGCCTGAGTAAAGGTCTTTTACCAATGTGCTTAAATTTGCCCCATAACAAGGAACACATGCTTTACTTCTCAAAATGCCACAAAATACTTGAATTATAATGGCCAAAGTAATGATTCAGCCTCATTTGGACAATTCCAAGCTGGCACAGCAGAAATGGATCATGTGAATTTACCACATCCTTTTGCTGGGCTATTTAAAGTTTCAAGACACACCAGACAACCTAGAATTAGGAACATCAGCAAAGTTATTATTGATTTGTTTTAACTTCTGATCAGGCTGTACTCCTTAGTGTGATTCACGCACTCTGGTTAAAGGACGCTGCCACTACCCTCTTATAGGAACCAATTATGCCCCTTCTGAGAGCTTCTAGAACAGATTGCTACCTCCCTGACTTTACAACTGTTTTTACAAATGAACCACTAGTTCCCTATCCTTCTACCCAGGAATTGTTTATAAATCAGTCAAATGGTGGGCAGCAATCTAATTTTTATGACTCTCTTAGAAGTTATTAAAAGAGATGTTCAGAGAAAGCAGTAGAAAATTTTTGTCAGTCTGAGATGGGAAATTTGTATTATCAGTGGCAAAAAGAGTGGTACAGCTTTATGGGAAAAGTGGGCTCTGGAGCTGCATTGCCTTGGGTGACACTTACTTGCTGAATAAAGTTGAACTCTCTGGAGCTTAATTTCCTCACCTATACAGAGGGAATATGTAAGCACAGGGCAGGGGGATTGATGGTGACAAATATGTTTTCAAGTGAGACAGAAGATAGCTGTGTGGTATTGCGAATGCATTGAATTGCACACTTAAAAACTGTTAATTTATGTTTCATGAACTTCACATAATCTACTTTTAAAAAAATACCATGACAAAAAAAAATACCATGACAAAATATTCTTCTTAAATATCAGTTTCCACTGCAGCACACTAGAGTATGGCATGATCCCCTCAGTACCAGCTACTCATTGCACCACTCAGTTCACCAAAGAGCCTATCTTCTCCCTCCCTCTGCTCCAAGCATGCAGAAGGTTGGAGGGGTATGTGTAATTTGAAAAAACCCCGTGGGCGGTTCCAGTGTGTGTGCCTTATTGGGAGTAATTACTCTAAAGTATAAACTGTAATGGTTCTACAAAATATATTCATATATATATATACCATACTTTAACCAAAGCTGTTAGACCTGAAGACTGCTTCCTGTTTTCCTTGGCCATAAATATCATTGCTTTAGCTATTTTCACCAATAGGTCTTTGTATACTTCCGATTATATTCCTAGGGTAAGTTCTCTGCTACTGGAAATATTGGCATTGAAGCATATACATGCATTTAAGATTTTGATCTCTATAAATATTTTGCCCTCCAAAAGGCTTATTATACCTGTTTGGATAGATTTTCATGTATTTTCGCTAGTGAGTTTATCATTTTCTTAGTTGGTCTTTTTTTCATCTGAAAGTTTTGTGTCACCTTTTTTGGCAGGATATAAAACTATTCCTTTACTTGGCTGAAATTTCAAGACTATCACTCACTTTTGGTAACATTATTGTCCCCATATTGATTACTACACATTTCATACTAGGCTAAATCCCCTACAAACAATGCTTTATGAAACTGCATAGCCCTGAACATGGGGCTAGAGGTGAGTATCACATTCTCTGAAATTGAATATTAGCATTCATGGAACCGTCTATGATCTAGCTCTCTGGAAAAATCTATGTTGTATGGGTATGTGTCTCTTGTTTTTTTTTTTTTTTTTTTTTTAAGATTTATTTACTTACACATACAAGAACTGGAGTGTAGGCCAAAGTTGTGGGGGGTGAGAGGATTCACCACAGAATGGGGAGCAGAACCGGCTGATTTACTGAAATACACTGCTGAGGAGAGCAGCGGGCAGGACAAGGGAGGTCTGCTGTGCCATGTGGGTCAGCTCCCTGGTTGTTGCTCGAACTCAGGTTGCTGTTCAAACTCATGCCGCAGTGGCTGTGGATAGCTTCACTGTGCTGTGCTTTAACCCCCATTGTGTCTCCAGGGAGAGCCCAGGCATGTATCTTTTAGGGAGGCAGTCGTAAAGATAAAATTGGATGTCTACTGTTGAAATTAATGTGGTTTATATACATGGTGATTCTCAGTGATGCCCACCTGAAATTTATGTAGTGTTGTAATGCATTGTGACTTCCAGTAAAAAGCAAAAAACGGGAGCACACCTGTACTCTAACCATGAAGGAGTATTGAGTCGGGGATGGGTGTGAAAGGAACTAGGAAAGCTAGGAGGGTGTTGGTGCTGAGGAGGGGATCAGCTCAAGAAGTCGACTTTGCTTCATGCATTATTTCTACCTCATGAATGCATATTTCCCACAGTGAAGTATGCTGAGGGAATTTATCTAAATAGAAACAATGTTAAGTATTTGGGTATTAGGTACGTTTATTGCAATGAGTTCAGGAAATTAGTTGAATTCTTGTGATTCCTTTATTCCTTGTACATACAGAAAGTGAGTTCAGTTTCTGATAACTCTCTGCAATTTTCCTTTACTGACTTTGCAAATTGCAGTATAGCATGCATGCTTCTCGGACTTATCTATAGGTCCTCTTAGATTCCTGAGCTTTGCAGAACAAGGAGAAGTTTAGGAATGCTGCTTTCCAGTGCCTTATAGAGGTGTACTATCCAGTGTGGTAACCACTAACTATATGTGACTAAATTTTCATTTTAGTTATTTAATATTAAAAATTTACTTTGATATCTCAGTTACACTAGCCATATTTCAGACACTTTATACCACATGTGACTGATGGCTATTGCATTGGCAGTATAGGGCAGAGAACATTCCCATCATTGCAGAAAGTTCTATTGTACAACATGGCTATGTAGAGTCTTAGTACCACCGAGCAGCACCTTTGGAGAGGTCACCCAAGAAGCTACAATAGCTGGGTTTTGGCAGTCTTCCCCTTACTTTTAATTCAGTAAAACTAACTGAAGATTTATCGAAGAACTTTGTGCCCCTAATGAAATCCACCATTTACATTCAGTCCCACTGCTGTAGTGCGGGTCTGCATTTAACACAGCAGCTATGGCCATCAGCTGCTCAGAGCTGTGAATCCCGTGTCCCAGAGGCACCTTTGATTCTAAAAACTGAAAATGATTATTCTGGAATAAATACATAAATAATAATTGAAGTAATTTTGGTCTTTTTATATTGATTTTATTAAGAATTTCTAATAATGTGATTCTGAACTGTAGAATTTATTTCTAAGTTAGGCAATCAAACTTTTGAAACTTATTATGTATGTTAAAAGACCATATTATAAAATGCTGGTTTCCTAAGATATCTATTCCACGTACCTGTCTTGAGTATAGTCATATTTAATATACTTATAAGTCTTGTTTTTAATTTCCCTTAGAAACGTCACATAGCCTCCTTTAATCATGTATCCTGACAATGTTATGAAATTCCAGGTTTAGAACTATGTTTAGGTTATGTTTGAGTCTGATATACATAGAATAACTGAATAAGTTGTGAATATACAGAAAGATATCAGAAGTTCTGATTAAATCAGTGATCTCACTTCTGTTGCCTTAGGTTATAATTGTTAAATGTAATCAACACAAATATTTTCATATTTCTGCCTTAGAATTCCTCAGTCTTTACAAGTTCTCCACAATGTTTAAATCCAAATAAGATGATCCCCTCTCAAATTCTTGTCATGCTTATATTTGTATGTCTCTGTGATGGGTTGTTCCTCCTCAGTATATTACAATAAATTTGGTCACTGAGCCACTTTGGTATAAAACTAATTATGCTACAAACCTGTGTATTTTGTAATTAGACTTTGTAAAATGTACTCACCTACCCTTGCATCTATTGAATTTCATGGTACTTGATTCCATCTCAGTTAGGGGACCAGAAAGGGAATATTGGCTTTATACTATTGTCTTCAAGTCAGCAGTATATCCATGTTCCTGTCTTCTGTTCCTTAATAGCTTGTTGCCGCCTTAAGCAATTCACTCGTTTAACTTAGCAGAAGTCTGAGCTAACAATTTTCTTGTTTTCCACTTCCTTAAATGACAAACAGAATCATTTCACTGGGAGCATTCCATTTTGGTAATGGACATGTTAACTATAATTATGATTGGGGGCCCTCCCTAGTGGTTAAAGCACAGCACTGTGAAGCTATTCGCAGCCACTGCAGCACGAGTTCGATCCCCTGCTTGGGAGCTGACCCACATGGCACAGCAGACCTCTCCTGCCTTGCCAGCTGCCCCCCATCAGCAGTGTATATCGTCAATCTGCCTGTTCTGTCCTACATTCTGTCTCTGGTGAACCGTCTCAACATCTGGCACCTCTGGCCTGTACCCCAATTCCTGTATTCATAAATAAATAAATCTTTAAAAAAAATTATGACTGAGTTGAGAAATAATTACGTACGCTTTTCTTTTTATTTTGCTACCTTCTCCTTTCCAAGTTAATTTGCTTCGTAGCAAATTGCTTATTTAGTACTAGTTATCTTAAACTGTAAATAAGTCTTCTTTACTCAAAATTGCTTCACTCTCAAAACATACTAATGTATATCCTCTAAATTAAAGTAGATAGAAAACATTTGTTTCAAGCATTACTAAACTAGGAAATGAAAAAACCTACTGGTATAAGATCTGATTGTATGCTGTACACACAAGCTTCTTACTAACAACAGTATAATACAGGGGTTGACAGACTATGCCCTGAGTAGCAAAGCCAACCCACTGCTTATTTTTGCATATAAAATTTTATTGGAACACAACAGTGTACATTCATGTACATATTACTAATTGTAATGTTTTCACACTACAGTGGAAGGATTGAATGTTTGCAATAGAGACCATTTGGCCTTCAAGTCTAAAGTATTTACTGTCTGACCCTTTTACTGAAAAAGATTATTGACCCTCGGTAGTAATACCACCTTTAAACAGGGGCACAAATCAGAATCTCAATTCCATATACTCTTGATTCTATATCTAAGTTGTACGCAACTTTAACAGGTTGCTAAACCTCTCTGGACCTCAACTTCCTCATCTGCAAAATGGGTCTCGAGGAATGAATCATCCCTAATGTTGACTCTCACGCTCTTAATGAAATGTTATAAATCCATACCATGTTTTGGAAACATTTTGCTATTTGTGTAACAGCTTTGCATTGAATGTTCCAACCACATGCAGCCACTGCGTTTAAAGAACTACCTAAACAAAATTGCTAGCCATAAGACAAATAAGGAACTTGCCACCATTGTTTGTAAAGAATTTACCTCTTAGAGCTCTTTTATATGGTAATTTCCTAGTAATATTTATAGATTTTTGACTACAGTAGCAGTAGCTAGAACAGTCCTTGAAACATGAAAATAACAGTTGTACTTTGCTGGAAATAAAAATAAAGCATCTCTAAATTTTAGTTTCATTGTGGAAAACATATGATTTGATATGTAAAAGTTCTATTCCCACCCAGCTTTTAGGGAAACATATAATAAATGAAATAAGCTTTTACTGTACAAAGAACTCAATATTCGATACTTATTTTTTTAAGAGATTTATTTATTCATACAGAACTGGGGTACAGGCCAGAGATGCGGAGGGTGAGAGGATCCACCAGAGACAGAGTGGGGAGCAGAACAGGCAGATAGAAGAAGTACACTGCTGAGGGGAGCAGTGGGCAGGTCAGGAGAGGTCTGCCGCGCCATGTGGATCTCCTCTGGGGCAGGCGGGGATCAAACTCCTCTGGGGCAGGCGGGGATCGAACTCATTAAGCTTCTTAGTGTTGTGCTTTAACCCGCTGCACCACCAGGGAGGGCCGATACTTATTTTTTTAAACATGGTAACTGATCATAAAATGCTACATAAGAACCTCTCCTGTATTAACCCCCGAACTTTTGGAAATCTAAAAAGCTGTTTGGAATGGTGTCGAGCTCACTTCTCTGTTGGTTTTGTGTGGGGGTTGGGTTGGGGTATTTTGCCTTTCCTTTCTTCATTCTGTTTATCCATTTATGTTTGTAGACAGAAACTCTAGCATGATCACCTTCTAAAAATAAACCTTGTGGAAGTGTATTTATATATTTAATAAATGTCTGCACACAATAATGATTTATCTTTTCAGAAAAATCTAAGAGCTCAATAGTTAAAATGTAAAGTTCGGCTAATGTAGGCTTAGACTTATTAAGTGATTTGATACTTGGACTACCTTAATGATCAATTCTACCTTGACCAATAGAAGACTGCTCATGTTTTAGCTTTGTTAGAGGGTTAGTAATGATTTAAATGTATGGAATGCTTTAAGTCTGCTTACTTTCACATACATTATGACTTTTGGCAACCTTATAAGGTAAATTATGTTAGTTTTAACATCCTCTCTTTATAAATTAGAAAACCTCAAGAGGTTAAATAAACTGAAGCAACATGAAGTATCTGGAAAGTGACAAAGACAAATATTCTGACCTTCATTTAACACTGGAAGAATTGAACACTTACACAAAATAACTTTCATTGTTCTTCTTGTTACTGAAACAATAATTCTCAACTTGTTTCTACTCAACATTCATCAGAAATATCAGACATTCTATATGACTGTATCAGAAATCAAGGGAGATTATGTGTGTGGTTTCAAAGGATCATCATTCTGACATGCAACCTGATTGAGAATTACTGTGCAAGACTAACGAATAATCATTGTGAACAAAAAGAAAGGGGGGAAGAGATTTTAAATAATTGACTTATACCTACTACCCAGAGATAATTAATGTTGTTAACATTTTGGTATAATAGTCAGTCATTTCTATTTTTACCGACTTTATTTCAAAAAAGATTTTCCTTTTTTCTTCCTAAAAAATAGGACATACCTAAGATTGTTTTAAAATCTTTTTTTAAATATAATTCATCCCATGCTTCTTTCCATTTCATTAAACATCCTCCCTGCAGGATCATTTTATACTCGCTGCAGAATATTACATTGTATGGTACATAGGAGAATTCAAGATGTAAATGTTTTATATACTTTGCAATCCCCAACACTATTACTCTAGTGTATGCATATGTGGTTTATCTGAAGAAATCCAACATTATTTAAAAACTGTTCTATTGTAACAATCATTTATATAATTGGATTTCTGAATAATCCTTAAATAACCATTTATTAACTTTTTATATTTATGTATTTGTTTTACTAATATATTTTCCTATCTCTTCTTAGGGTGCAGTACTAGCAGCTGTGTCAAGTCACAAATTCAACTCATTCTATGGGGATCCCCCAGAAGAGTTGCCAGATTTCTCCGAAGACCCTACCTCCTCAGGTAACTGAATCACTCATTCATTCACCAGTGTGAATCAAACGGTGTCCATATTCTTTTACTTCCATTGCGAAGAAACATATTTTGTGAATCTAGTCATATCCTCCAAAGAATTCTGAGGAAGATTGTTAGCAACCAAATCCCATCTACGTGTCTGCTTCCTTTTAATTTTAACACAAAATTGTTTTCTGCTACTGCAACATTTTTTTTTTACCTCAGAAATTTTACTTCCTCTTTCCCCACTCTTGACCCAGTGCTGTACTTTATTCAGTCCAACACTGAAGACAGTCTTTTGGGATTCTTATGAGTACCTTCTACCTCACAAAAACTTGTGATAAAAGATTTTCTTCATGCCAGCTATATCAGATCAGACTTCGGGATAACACTGCTTGTAACTGAATCTTTCACTGTAAAGCTGTCTTGTGAGTTACATCTTGAAACAATTTACAAGTTCTTCTCTTTATAAAGTCATAACATATGTATGCAAACATTCACAGAAGAACATAGAAGAACTTTATATATGTGAATATTTCTGAAAAACACCACTTGCATTCACAAAATTATTTCATAAAATTCTCAGATTTCCACTTACCAGTGAGGCCTCCTATAAATTTACAAGAAATTTATAGAATCCACTTACATGTATCTGTAAACGCATGTATGTATATCTTATAGCTTTTAAATTTTACTTACATATTCTTTTCATAAATTTACTTACATAATTTTTTTAAGTAACACCTGAATCATGTGTTTTGTTTTTCTTATTTCATTAGAATCATTCACTGTTTATCATGGAGTTAACTTTTCGCTGGTGATTAAATTTTTGTATTCTTGGACTGGCTTATAGTATTCTTTGCTTATCATTGGAATAAAAACCTAGGGCCCTTCCTGAAGCATGAGTTGTTTGTCCTTCAAAGTTAGCAATATAAGAAAGACGGTTATGCTAATACTTTTTTCTTCTTGGAACCATGAGCATTTGTCAGTATTTCTGCTGCTTCTCTCTCCTGTTTATAGGTTATGTGCACATACACATATACATTCACATATACACAGAGAGAGAGACAGAATTTCTCATCAAGTGATATGTGCAAAATAACAGGATCAAGTTTTCCAGTCTAGCAGCTATATAGTTCCTCATTTTGACCTTTACCAATTGGGATATGAATCTTCCTCTTTTAAGCGAAGGTGATTTCCAAAAACTTCAGAAATAGGAATATCAGAGAAGAGACGCTTTGAGAAGCCCTGGCTGTTTTCCTCTTATGCTGACTTGGTAATTATTCAACCTCCTTGCCACATGAAAGTCAAGGCCACAGTTGTGTTTACACTTGTGTTCACTCTCATTTCATGTCTGTCTATTATTCTTCCAGTCTATTTTGTTCCCTCCACGTGTGGGTTTGTTCTTATTGTTAGGTCAAACCTTTTCTTATATCTTCAGATTAGTTGATCTTATCTAGGGAGAGTGGGTGTAATAATGGTTTTATGTGCTACTGTGGCTACATGAGATAGCCACCTACTAGGAATACATTTAAGACTTTTAGTGCCATTTTCATCTTTAGAAATGGGCCTAGTGAGCAATGTGGTCTTTGAAACAGCTTCATAGACCAAATCTTTAATGTTGTACCTTAATAATTACCTCTGCTAGCAAGAGTTTAATGAGTTCTTAAGTGTTCCTTTCTGTGCATGCTTGTTTTTTTTCTTTAAGGCAAGAAATTCTCTACGGTCATAGACATAATTATTTTCCATTAAATACATTTTTATTGCCCAATGTGCTCTGTTTTTCAATACAATCTTAAATGATATCGTTAAAATAGTTTCTGATTCCAGTACTTGCTTTTTAAAGAAAAAGAAAACTTCTCACACGGTCTTGCAGGCAGCTTGCCAGCCCTAAAATTAGTTTTTCACAATTTAGCATTCTTTTGTGCCTCTGTTTCCTGTAGTCATACCCTATTTCTTTTCTTTTTTTTTTTTGTCTTTTTAAATTTCTGCATCCAAGCGATTTTGTAGGTAGTCTATATCTTTAGTTGGCATATTAAATACTGGTCTCTATATTTGTATAAAGTACTGTCTGGGTGCTTAAATTAAGAGATAATAGAGTTACTATGCAGTATGCATGTTTTATGACCTACACTAAATGAGAAGGAAAATTATATATTCAGAAGTCAAAGACAAAGGAAAAATTTGAAGAAAGTTTTCATATTTTCCTTGTTTTCACATAGCTGTCATGAATATTTCATATTCTTAAAATTAATTTTAATATTAGGCCACTTATAGGGAAGCATTATATGATTTTATCAGTATTATTTATCAAATAGCTATGTCAGTAAATTTAGCTATCTACCAATTAATTTCCTTTTCTGAAATCAACAATAGCGGTTGTATGGTTGGTTACAAACATCTATTATATATTTTACCTGGACTAACAGAGCTTTACACTTTCATAAAAGACATCCATATTTTCATTTTTCACTTTGTCCATACTTTTTAATATTTTCATGTGAAACCCTAAATTGTTTTGTATTCATTTTTAATCCTTAAATTCTTCATCATTGAATTTCCCAACATTATCCCTTCACTGTCTCTCTGTTTACCAAAATGTGGGTTTGTTTTACAGTTAAAAAGTACAGTGCACTTTCCATCATTACCTGAAAGTTCTTCCAAGTCCATGGCAAAAAGGAAAAACTGACCAGAGAGCTTGTGCCTCAAAGGCAAGGGTGATGGAATACTGCAGGCAGGATTGGTAAGAGAGAGTAGCAAGACCACCAGCTGCCCTGTCTTCACATGGGCTGTTTTTATTCTTTCGAGACCTTTTCTAGTCTTTCTCTGAAATAATAATTAATGGTAAGGATGTCAAGACCTCATTTGACATACTTACATGCTGTCAATCGTATTTTGATCTCTCCAAAATTCTATTTTATCCAACAATCACAATTTAAAACAGATCAGTTTCCCAATTTGTCATCTAAAGAAGTCTTAACATATTTAGGTATGCCACTTATATAGTAAAACTTTTTTATATGAGTTTATTTTTCCTTTTGATACTTGAAATTAGTCCATTTTATATTCCCTAGACTTTAGTGGGTTTGATCTGATGACAATCTATTGTTGCTTTGTTACTTACTAATGTAAAGTAGAAATATTCTGTTATGATATTTCAAATTGAAGAAGTCAGAATCAGAACGGTCCTAAACAATCCAAATAAATGTGCTCATAGAACACTACGGTTCATGTTGGGTCTGCTGAGGGACCATGCTCCGGTGACTTCTCTAGTGGGCTCAACTGTGGCTCAGTAACCTGTTTGCTCTAAAATCATACTGTTTGTTATTTGTCCATATGCTGCCTTTCTCCTAGGACTTCTAGCAGCAGAAAGTAGGTATCCCTTTGTTTTCCTCTAATGTTAATCTTTTATGCAAAAGTGTTTGGCTTTGCATGATTTATAGCTTAACTTTTTCCTTGGCTGTTTGTGTTTAGATGTTTAGTTATAAATTTTAACACTGCCTGATCATAAGACTAAAGATGGGATATATTGATTTCCTGAGGCATTGTCATATGAATAATTTCTTTCATAAGAGGAAAAAGAGGCTGTGTTAAAATTTCAAATGCATCTAATAATATTTCACATCTGAATTTCAAGCACAAATTCATTAATTCTGGAAAACAGGTAATATTTTACTTTGGAATTTGCTGTCAAGAAAACTTGTAGGGTAAGTGAATTTTCCTTTGACAATTATGTAATCTGCTCATGGTTTGTCTTATCCCCTGTTACTGTGCTTTCAATTTAATGTGGAGCTGTGAAATTCATTCCTAAATCATGTCTAACAACTTTTACCATCAGATAGAATGTTTATGAAGAATAATATAATGGTTAGATTTTAATTACAAAGGCATAAAATGTGAGTATGTGAGAATGTTAAGGTAAAAAGTATGTCAAATTACACACACACACAGAGATGACTACAAGTGAAACTAAAGCAGTCTGAATAAGATGGATGTATTAGATCAACGTCAGTATATTCTGGTTGTGATATTATACTGTAGTTTTATAAACTAGTGGAGGAACTATGCATAGGATACAAGGGATCTTTATCATTTCTTACAGCTGCATATGAATCTACAATTATTTCAACAAAAATTTCAGTGAGCATAATGCAGCAAACCCTCATCTCAACATTGTGCTTATTTGCAGGGAGAGAAATATATATATATGAGCCAAAGATAAATCAGAAAATCAGGCTCCTGATAATTAAACTCATTGTCTCGTTTTATTGCATTAGTGGCTTGTAACACAAATTGCAGCCTCTTTAATAAAAACATCTCACCATTTTTAGTTATCTGTTGCTTGCAGTAAATAATCTAAATAATCTCGGAGTAGCACTTGTCATCTCAAGTTTCCTGGGTCAGGAATCCAAGCACAGTGTAGCTGAATCCATCTGACTCAAGATTTCTCATGAGAGTGAAGAAAAGCTGTGGTCCAGAGCTGCATGCAGTCTCATCTGAAGGCCCCGTCGCAGAGGCTTCAAAGTTCCTCACAGCTATTGGGCCTCTCCATAGAGCTACTCACAGTATAGCAGTTTGCTTCTGCCAGCAGGAATGATGGAAGAAGGAGGTGAACAATGAGAATAAAAGCCCTAACAGAAGCCACAGTCTTAACACTTTGTTAATTACAAGTGTGCCAGTAAATCCAACCCATACCCTATGATGTTACTATTTGAACACATATACTACTATTTTAACAAGCATAATGGCAACTTCCTGTAATAAATTTCAGTGCATCTACATTATAATCTATTCATAAAGAATCTAAAGCTTTTATTGCCAGGTGTAGGTTTTATAACTTGGATTGGATATAGCACAGATGATTAAATCCAACATACAGTTTCTATTACAGGGTTCTCTATTGGCTATAACTCAATTAATATCCAGTTCTGTTTTACAAAGAGGAAATAAAAGCTATTCTACAGTATAAGGGTAAGACAAAGAGAAAGAGATTAACTGCAAAGGGAGTTGATAAAATTTACATTTAAGTTGGTGAGTTTTAACTTAAATCACCTTAGTTAGCATATCTTTTAAAAGATTTATTGGATTTACTCACTTATACAAGAACTGGGGTGTAGACCAGAGGTGCAGGGGATGTAAGCATTCACCAGAGACAGTGGGGAGCAGAACAGGGCAATTTCTGAGATAAACTGCTGAGGGGAGCAGTGAGAAAGACAGGAGTGGTCTGCTGCGCCATGTGGGTCAGCTCCCTGGCTGGGGGGCAAACTCATGTTGCAGTGGCTGGAATAACTTGATAGCACTGAGACTTTAACCCCTGCACCACCAGGAAGGCCCAGTAAGCAGATTTGTTATTGCTAATGTGCTTACTAAAAGGGGCTTTGATTGGGTGATGAGAATATGTGTGCAGTGATTCCATATTCTATGAAGGGGCTTGCTAATATAATCGCAAGAGAGGTTATAACTTGCTCTTCAGGAGAAGCCAAACTAGATTCAGGTGTTGAATGCAAGCATATAAATATTTGTTGTTAAAATACCTGCATACCTGGGTGTATGCAGTATATACATATCTCAAAACTGTTGAATGATACACTTAAGCTTTATATATTTCACTCTATGTAAATTTTACCTGGAAAACAGAAAAAAAGTATTGAAATCTATACTGAAACATTTTGGGGTGAAGCGGACTGATGTTGGCCACTCTACCACCCATTGTGAAGGAAAAATATAGTGAATTGATGACTGGATAGATGTGTGATGAAGCAAGTATCAAACTATTAGCAATTATAGAATCTAGGGTATGAGTACCATTCTTTAACTATCTGTGTTTGAAATTTTCATGGTAAAGCATAGGGAGAAAGAGTTTTCAGACAGACCCAACCAATTTTGACAGTGAGAACTTTGTCATTTAAACATTCTACTGTTTATTTTTCTGTCCTGCTGTTTGGTTATTTTTACTCAGTCAACTATTTTTTTATGAGATTTTTCCAGTCTTATAATGAAATTGTTCTAGATTCAAAGTTTTTATTGACCTTAGAAGTACATTCCTCTTTCAAGAAATAGACTCAGAAAACATTTTTTAAACAGTTGGCATATTTATGCTCTTTTTATTATTTCATAATAGCAGCAGAACATTTTTAGAGACTTGTTTATATTAGTGAGACTCTTATAAAAATGGAAATGTTCAAAGTTAAAATGTATGATTATCTACCTATTTTTATATACAAACTTGATTTACCAATTGAATTGTGTACAAGATTAAATAAAATGTGCTGAAGGCAGAGTTTGATTACTTTGTAATAAAATTTATCAATGTGAAAATTAGACCAAGAGCTAAGAAAATAAGCCTTAGGTGGTAGATATAGTTCAGATTTAAAAGAGAGTAGAAATTGGATGTGATCTCAAAAATTATTCAGGTATATGAAACATGATTTCAGGACAGAGACCTGGGTTCTAGAACTTGCTCTTATGCTCACTGCTGTGGAACCAAGGCCACTTAAGCCTGCGGAACCTCTGATTTATCTAATAAAAAATACTTGCCTGCAGGAATGACATTAGTTAATAAGTGGAAATCACTTTGGAATCTTATAAACTTATAAACTTATGCAAATATAAGTATTAAAGTAATTTTCGTTACTACTTTAAGGAACATTGTTAATAAAAGAAACTCTTTGCTTAAGACTTTCATTATAATATTTTATTTTCATTCTTCAGAATTTGCTCAGAAAAATTTTTTTTAATCAAATGTGTTGTTGTTTCTTTTTGTACAAAATACACTGTAAAGTGTAGCCTGGAATAGAAAAATGTATTGGATACCTCAGTCCTCCATTAAACTGCCCTCTAAGTTGAGCCCATGTTCTTATAATTTATTGTCTTTTTCCAGGTAGACACAAGTTTATTTGTAGTTTCAAGAGGGAAAAAGTCCTTCTAAATATCTGAGAAAAGTAAATGCTAGTAGTAGCTTTCAAGCCTCTGTATATGTATTGTGCTGTATTATTTTGATTTTAAAAATGATGGGAAAGTCCCCAAAATGCCTGTGTGTGTTTATATTTTATATTGAGTTGAAAAAATACAAGATTTTTAGATGGACTTGGTATTGAACTCCAGCTATCAATTACATATATTTTTCAGATGATGACTATATCCTATGGTTCTGCTGGTTATACCCAAAGAAAGAAAGAACAGTGAAAGATGTTAAAATGATTAAGAGTGAAGAAAGATTTTGAGATTAGAAAAAAAATATGTGTTCATTCTGTTTGAAAAGATGAAGTAGAAATGGAGAAATGTAAAATTAAGGACACTTTCCAGAGCATGTAATAGGCAGTTTGAGTACAGGTATGGCAATGCTCCCTTCCACAATAGAAAACCCACAAAGCTAGTCACATTTGGGTACAAGATTAAGAATATAAATCAGGCCCTCCTCGGTGGCACAACAGGTTAGGACGCAGCACTGCAAGCTAGCCACTGCCGCTTCAGTGCGAGTTCTATTCCCAACCCGGGGGTGATCCACATGGCTTGGCAGACCTCTCCTGACCCGCCCGCTGTTCCACTGAGCAGTGTACTTCATCCATCTTCCTGCTCTGCTACTCAAAAGGCGACAGATCCAAGGAGCGTAAGTAGACCAGGAGGTCTCGCCTACTGGAAGCACAGGCTCACAAATGCCCGTGTGCTTTCCGGCAAAGCATCCCCTGGATCCATCAGAGATGAGACCCGCGCTGGAGGTGGTGAACTCCTGCCACCCCCATCACTTCTCTGAGGCTCCCCAGTTTCTCTCCAGCAGCCTCTTTCCTTGTCACTTTCTTTTTACCCCTTCTGCATCATCTACTTCAGGGTTCAGTATACCTTCTTCCCGTGCAAGCCTGAGAGCACCTCCCTGGAGGTCAGGGATCAGCCTGCTTTTTGGAAGCCCCTGCCTAGCACCTGGCAAGACAGGTTTCAGTGATTGTTTGCCTGAAAGAGTTCAAGTTCTTTCCTAGCTTCCATATCCATGCATAACTCCTACATAGCTTCTTGAAGATTCCACTTATGTTTCCAACCAATTAGTGTATAAAGTCAGGCAGAACTTAGACTTTGGAGCCAGATGCAACAGGATTGAGCCATGGCTCAGCGCTTCTCACTGTGGCCTTCTCTTGACCCACCTCAACCTCAGATCCCTGCCTAGGTAGGTCTGGTAGTGTATCTGTCTTACTGGGAGGCTGCTCCTGGCATAACATGCACTCAGAAATTAGGGGCTGCTATTACTATTATAAATTACTGGATTACTTATTATTAATTACTGGATTAATTAGTAAGTGCAAATAATAAGAGTAAACCCACACAGCCAGCTTTGGAAGTTCACAGACCAACAGATGGTATTTCCCTGAAATGGTACAGCTAAAATTCCCTCTTAATTGGCATCAAAATGCCATGTTAATACTCACTTGATACAGGATTGTTTTTATGTTAATCTTACAATATTGATAAACTGCTGGCTAGGCTATATATTAACATAAGCAATGCTGGATAAAGACAATGAAACGTAGATAAAATTCCACTAAGATAACTGAATAAAAATGAGAATTAGGTTTCTGTGATATCTCTGAATTAAAAATATATGTCATTAGTATTTTGTTATTGCAGTCTCAAAAGTTTAGGAATGCTTTAGTACCTTTAGAAATGCAGCACTCGGGCCCTCCCTGGTGGGCAGCAGGTTAAAACACAGCCCTGTGAAGCTGGCCTTGGCGCCCAGGAAGTGGTCCACCTGGCACAGCAGACCTCCTGTTTCTCCCGCTGCTCCGCTCAGCAGTGTACTGCGTAGATCTGTCTGTTCTGCTCCCCACTCTGGCTATGGTGAATCCTTGCACCACCCCTGTGCTTCTGGCCTGTAACCCAGTTCTGTATGCATAAATAAATAAATCTTTTTTTAAAATGCGGCACTCGGCCTCCCTGGTGGCGCAGCGGGTTAAAGCACTGCACTAAGAAGCTAAAGCCACTTCAGCATGAGTTCGATCCCCGCCTGCCCCGGAGGTGACCACACGGTGCGGCAGACCTCTCCTGACCCGCCCGCTGCTCCCCTCAGCAGTGTACTTCGTTGATCTGCCTGTTCTGCTCCCCGGTCTCTCTGGTGAATCCTCTCACCCTCCACATCTCTGGCCTGTACCCCAGTTCTGTATGAATAAATAAATAAATCTTTAAAAAAAATGCGGCACTCAATTCTGCTGTAGATGGTGTGCTAGGGTGGGGAGTTCATTGAAACATCTGGGACTAATTACTTCACATCATCTCTTGCTTTTCCAAGACGTTCAATGAGGGCTTTGAACTAATTCCCAGATTTTTTTTTCTCACTGAAAAGAAAGGAAAAGATCCTGAGAAAAGCAGGTAAAACAAAGTAGATTAGGTTGAAAACCTTTTCAGGAACAACAGGGAAGATAAGGACTGATTTCTGCCTTGTACTTTTTTTCTAAAGATTTACTTATGCATACAGAACTGGGGTACCAGCCAGAGGTGCAGGGGCGGCGAGAGGATTCACCAGAGAGAAGGTGGGGAGCAGAACAGGCAGATCAGCGAACTACACTGCTGAGGGAAGCAGGGGGCAAGTCAGGAGAGGTCTGCCGCGCCATGTGGATCACTTCCGGGGCCAGGGATAGAACTCGCATTGCAGCGGCTACAGCCAGCTTGTTGTGCTATGTCCTAACCCGTTGCACCTCCAGGGATGGCCTGCCTTGTACTTTTTTTATCCCACTAAATTGATATCACTTAATGTTTTCAGTGGCAGGCATAATTACACGACATTAAAATTTATCCACAGTCCCATCAAACTGTGGTACATCCATGCTATGGAATATTATCCAAGGGGAAAAGGAACAGTCTATTGATGCATTAATGAATTATTAGACAAAATTTTAAAATACCAAGAGTGAAAAATAGCCAATCCCAAAAGATTACATGCCTTTATGGTTTCATTTATATAGCATTCTTAAATAAGAAAAGTATAGAAATGAAGACTAGATTAGTTCTAGCACCAGTTGCTTGGTATTAGGAAGGGCTAGAGTGGGAGAGAAAGGAGTGTAACTAGAAGTGGGAAATCTGAAGGATCCTTGTGGTGATGAAGTATTCTGTAGCTTGACTGTATTGATGTCAGTATCCTGGGTATGATAATTTTGTAGGATGTCACCATTGGGGGAAAATGGATAAAGGGTTTAGGGGATCACTCTGTATTATTTCTTATACCTACATTTTAATTTACAATTATCTCAAAATTAAAAAAAAAAGTAAAAGCCACAGTAATTTCCACATGGGTAGCCACTTCATTTATGGCTTAAGTCCCCAATCTTTTACATAAAGTAATATTGCAAAAGGTAGTTGCTAAGAAAGCAATTTTTTCCTGCTGTAGAAAATTTGGAAAATATGGACAAGAACAAAATGTAATATAAGTAAGAAAATAAAGATTGCTCACTTGGTGCACTTCATTTTAGTTTCTTCCTGAATTTGTATATTTTTTCTGTCATAATTGGCTATATACTAATTTATGTGGTTTTACATTATTCTCTTGAATTTTATGTCATGAGGATTTCTCTGTCTTTAAAAATGCTTCAAAAACACTTTTTGCTTGACTAACTATTCCACTATTTGTATGTTATATAATTATGTAAGTAATCACTATTATTATTTTCCATTTTATATGATAGATATACATAAATCTTTTTCTACATTTGCTTTCTTAAAGTAGGCTTTTGTAAATGAATTAAAGTGTATGAACATTTTTAAGGCTCTTGGGTATGTTATCAGGTTGCTTTTGGGGAAAATGGTACTAATTTACATTCTCACCACTGAGTGTATGCAAGTGGATAAAATGCAAGACCAGTGTAGTTAGAATCCGCAGAGTTCCAAAACAGAAACGCTAAAGCAGGGTTTCTCAACCTCAGCACTGTGGACATTCTAGGCTGCTGAGAACTATCCTGGGCTTTATACGAATGCTTAGTAGAATCACTGCCCACTAGATGACAACACAAGCCAGACTCACCATCACCACCACCACAGTGTGACACCAAAAATATCTCCAGATATTGGTAAATGAACCAGTGGAGAACAAAAACAGTCCTTATTAAAAACTACTAATCCAAGAAGATGTGGTATATTCACACCATGGAATATTACTTAGCAATCAAAAAGGATAAACTCATGCCTTTTGCTGCAACATGGATGGAGCTGGAAGGGATTATGTTTAGTGAAATAAGCCAGAAAAAAGAAATATTGAATGGTCTCACTTATAGGAGGAATGTAGAGGAACCCAAAGTCAAACCTCTTTGGGTTCTTTTGTTCTTGAGAGTATGTGCATGTTGTCTGCAGAGTGAAATACGCTAATCATTACTGTAAGACTATATAGATGGCTTTGTTACAAGGTATGTATCTTTCCCTCTTGATGTCTCTCTGGATTCCTGGCTATAAGAGAAAATATTTAAAAAGTGAGCATACTCCCATTTGCTTTGCCTTGCAAAATGATTTGTCCTAATGTTTAATATATTATTTGAAAGTGTCTTTGTCTTCCAAATAAGAAGACTAAGAATGACCTGTTTCTCTTAACTTCGTATGTAAAGGGAGGAATAGACTGGGATTTTTGCTAATTTAAGTTTGAGTAAAAATGGGTACGTTGTATAACAACACCTGAGGGGAGAGATCCTATACTTCTATAACACAGACTACTGTTATATATAAATCAATGTTATGGAAATATATATATAAATTCGAGAAGCCTGTTTCACACAGCAGAAGCTCACAGTTGCAACATCCCACAGCTAAGGTCTACAACTCACTTTACCTTCATTTCTTGATGGAATGAGCTCTATGAAAGGCTGGCCTGTATTGTTTCTGTGATATTTCAAAGCATCACGGGATCATGGAACCCACACTGTCTTCCTGGTATATAATTTGTTGTACACAAATCTTCCCAGATCTGCACCTAATAATTCAATTATGGTTGATGAATTTCATTAACTCAAGTAAGATAAGCTTCAGTTTGCTTTGAAAAATGAGGAGTATACAAAAGCATTATCAAGAACATGAATTCATTGAAAATATGTAATCTGCTCTTAACTGATATGAAACTCATTTAAGTCTCTCCTTTAGTAAAAGCACTACCCTTTGAAACTCTATTGTTGGTTCATTGTTCTTAAGTTAATATTTAGGCCCCAAAGTTTTGTTTGACATTGACTTTCTGTATTGGCTGTTTCTTTTCTGCTTGTTCCCTTAGGAGCAGTCTCACAGGTACTGGACAGCCTGGAAGAAATTCACGCACTTACAGACTGCAGTGAAAAGGACTTAGATTTTCTACATAGTGTTTTCCAGGATCAGCATCTTCACACACTACTAGATGTAAGACTTTCTATTTTTTTCCTTGTAAATTGAATATTTAGTGTACCTTTTACTTTACATGAATTTTCAGACATCCAGCATTATGGTCATTTTTAGTTGATTCAAGTTTGTGGGAAGTTATCCATCATAGATTCATAATGAAAACAAATTCTATTATACATGATACAGATGCAAGATAGTCTAGCATATACAGTGAAAACTTTTACATATATATGTGTGTATATGTGTTTCTGTTAGAAGCATCCCATTGGTCTTAGCTGTGATTACTTTTTATTGCTTTAAACATTGTTTTAAAAGATTATACTTCAAGCATGAGTACTGGGAAAAGAAAAACAAATAAATTATACAATGGACTATATTCATATATGTACTCCATATTTAGAATTGTTGCTTTCCATAGTCTTCTCAAGACCTATGACTACATTTTGTCATTAAATACAATAGGCACCATTGACAGCAGGCTGGGATACAAAACAAAAGCAGAAGCTGACAGTCCACATCTACATTAATTTTAAATCACATTTTAAATAAAATAATTTTCTTAGAAAACTTGGTTCACTTCCAAAAGTGAAAACTTTCTTAGTATATATTAGTGTATTAGTATATAGTCATCTTTTTGTATTCCCTTAGTAAGGGAATATTTACTTTGGAGTCCCTAGAACTTTTTTGATACTAAACCTGATTAATCCACTATATGAGGCATCAAGCTAAAGCAAAATTTTCCAAAATGTATTTTACAGAAAACCTGAGAAACAATAGTTTTAAAAGGGCTAAATAAAATCAGACAGACAAAGACAAATACTACATGGCATCACATATTTGTGGAAGCTACCCTAAAATATCAAACTAAGAAAAGAGGAGTAAAATAGTGGTTGTTATGTACTGAGGACTAGAGGAAATAGAGAGAGGTTAGTAGAAGGGTAAGATGAAGAAGATCCGAGGATTGAATGTATACATGGGGAGTATTGTTGGTAGTACTGAATTCTCTAACTGGTCTCAACAAGAGAAAGTACATATGTGAGGTGGGGAATAAGTTCATTAGCTGGATTGTGAGATCTTTCACAACATATATGATGTTGAAGCATCACAGTGTACACTTTAGCATATAAAGTGTACACTTTAACACTTGTCCAGATTATTCCAGTGTGTTTACTTTTTAGAAAGAAAAATTCTGATACAAAGATGGTGCGATGTGTGTATGTGTATAGGCACACAGACATCAATTTTAGGAAAATGCAATTTGGCATATGTATTAGTTTGTTAAGGTTACCATTACAAAGTTCTACAAACAAGGTAGTTTAAAACATAATAGAAATTACTCTCTCATAGTTCTAGAGATTAGAAGTCCTAAAGCAGGGTGTCAACAGAGCCATGCTCTTAGAAGAGGGAGATACAATACAGTGAAATGGGTGCCACATCCCCCATACAAACTTCCTTGCAGCCACCTGGGACTAGCCACTGGGAACTGGGAACTAGGGGTGAGCTCTGTAACACGGAAAGCAGGTAGACACTGGGGTTTGGGGCCTCTTGCTTTTCCAGTTTTGACATATACTTGGAACATGGAAGAGAGATGTATAGAAACAAGTGGGTGATAGACTCGTGGGAAGGCAGTCCTTGCCACAGATAATAACAGCCATTATCTTGACTTGTACTTTCACTTTGTCTCGGACTTGCCTTATCCCTTCATTGCTGTTCCCCTCAGAAGGTACCTTAGACTCATGGCAGGCTTTCAGGCCGCAGTGGCCCCACTTTGGGCTGACTCTGTTTGACTGGAGGAGATGGATAATTTGGTGAGGGGTTATTGGAAACTTACTAGGAATCTCTTCTATTCTCTTCCCTACCGATGCACACTAATTCTCCTGAAGATCATTCACACTAAGAGTCTGCTTCCTTTACTTTTTGGCGCAGATGGCCAGAGCCCTTTAGGGTGTCCTTATGGGTTTAGGATCCATAGGTGCCTCTCAGTCACATAGCAACACTCCCTTCCTTCCCTCTTCCATTTTCTGGTAGTTACCAGCAATCTTTGGAATTTGAGTTGTAGCTACATCTAGCTTTAAGTCCACACAGCATTCTCTACTCACAGAGAGAAAAACAGACTCTAGTCAGAGACACAGTGATGACAATGTCTTCACATGGCTATTTAGTGTCCACCTTAATCTAACATGACCCCATGTTAATTACATATGTAAAGACCCTACTCCCAAATAAGTTCACACTCTAAGGCTCCAGGTAGACATGAATTTTTTTTTAAAGATTTATTTATTTGTGCATACAGAACTGGGGTGCAGGCCAGAGGCTCAGGGGCGGAGAAAGGCTTCACCAGAGACAAAGTGGGGAAGAGAACAGGCAGATCAACAAAGTCACTGCTGAGGGATGCAGCGGGCGGGCCAGGGGAGGTCTGCCGCGCCACGGGGCAGGCGGGAATCAAACTCATGCAGAAGTGGCTTAAGCTTCTTAGTGCAGTGCTTTAACCCGCTGCACCACCAGGGAGGGCCCAGACATGAATTTTAAGGGAACAGTTGGTGTTTGGTTCAGTACAGCATGGAAAATTGACTTTGCCCTGAGTTGATTTTTCAGGTTTGAATGCAGATTACAAAAATTTAATTTAAAATAATGAGACAGTGCCCTGTCATTTGGTAATTAGCCTTTCTTGGGAATTGGTATTAAAGTATCTCTAGAGCTTGTGGTGATTTTTTTTTTTTTTAGGGCAGTGAAACATTTACTTTTCTTCATCTAGACCACAATATCAATACATACAAATATTTTGAGCCAGAACTTCGAATGTGATAAGTTGTTGGAACTTGCATGTGACCCATCAACTGATCGGCTAAAAAATCAAAAAGTTTTTGTACAGATAAATAGCATTTTGCACATGTTATTTGGTAGTGATTCTCAGTCTTCTCAATTTCTTGTAGAAATATTCCTGTTACAGAATACATGTTTACTTTGTAAGTCAACAATGTTACAAAACATTGTTAAATGACACATTTATCTCTCTGCCAAACTTTGACAACTAAGTTTTAAACATTTGCCCACCATCTGTTATACCTCTGAACAGCTGTTAACATTTGTTACAGACTGCTGTTTCCATAGTAAATGTGATGACCCACCTCATTAATATCATGGTGGGGGGGTCTGAAATTATGTTTTCTAAAACATAGTTGATGATTAAATTAATAAAGCAAAAAAAAAGCTGCAGTAGCAATTTATTTTACAGGTTTATATAAATTTATATATAGATTTTATGATAGATTAAATAATAGTTTAAATAATGCATCAGAAATAAATTGGTATGAAACCCTGTAGATTTTGTGTAACTGACATCTGTGTTATAATTGTTTTTACTGTTTAGAGAGATTAGAGAATTTTTCCATCTGACTTGGGCTAACCACTGGAAAACTACAGCTCTTAATTTACTCTTGCTTTTTTGGGATGATATTAATTTAGGATTTGGGGAACAACATATTTTTAGAACTTAGAAGCTTCCTAAAGTGAAAAAAATAGAACTACTACATAATTTGGTGATGTTTTTGAGCAATTTTTGGTCTGAGAAGTACTTGCTACAATGATAAGTTTGATGTTTAAATAGATTAACAGTCACAAAATGCAAAATCTTAAGTTTCCCACAAATTTGTAGCCCAGTGAATTTGCAATTAAATGTGTAGAATAACAAAGCCTATCTGAAAACCTACAAAGGTGAGCTACTGATAACTTTTAGGGTCTGCTCCAGTTTTAAAGTCAGTTTCAGCAACTATGAAATCAGATGGATAGTGGGGTGATCCTTGTGCTACTTATCTGCTGGGACTGAGACTGAAATATACACCTGGGCAAAAACTCATATCTGTTTCCATAGATGTATTGAAGTATTAGTGTCAGTGGAAAAGGGCTGCAAATATCTGAGATAAAGAGAGCCAGAATTATCATGTGCCCTGGAGGTATTCAAAAAAAAATTCTACATTCTCAATGTAGGTATTAACAAATTTCATTTTCAAAAATAGCTTTAAAAAAAGCTATTTAGCATATGTTTACTTGTTAAAAAGCAATAGAAAAATAATATAACCAAGAACAAAGCAAAGATTGTCCACTCATCAATTTTATTCAGCATTGGACTGGAGAATATAGCCAGTGAATAAAGTAGGAAAAAGAAATTCAAGGTATGCAGGTTGGAAAGGAAGAGGTATAACTATCTTCTTGCAAAGATAGAAAAATCCTAAGGAATCTAAAAAAAAACCTACTAGAACTAACAGGCAAGCGTAACAAGTATGAAGGATAAGTAGAGTAATATAAAAAATTAACTGTATTTCTATATGCAAGTTAATAATCTGTATATAAAATTTAAAAATATTCACAATATCATCAAAAAATAAAATACCTACTAGTGAATTGTATACTGAAAACTAAAAGTATTACCGAAAGTAAAGAAGATTTAAATAAATGGAGAGAGATACTATATGGATAGATTGAAGGACTCAGGATTGGTAAGATGGCAGTTTTTCCCATGTTCACCTATTGATTCATTGCAATCCTTCTCAATACCCTAGTGGAATTTTTTTTTTGCTAGAAGTTGACAGGGTGGTCTTAAAATATATGTAGAAATTCCAAAATAGTTTTGAAAAAAGAACAGAAGGACTGATTTCAAAGCTGAAAGTAGCATAGCATTAGTGTAAAGATAGATAATTCTATGAAACAGCATAAAGTTCAGAAATAAATCCTTACATTCATGGTCACTTGATTTTCAACAAAGGTTCCAAGGCAATTCAACAGGGAAGAGACTATGTGTATGTGTTTAATTGTTGCTGGAGCAATTGAAGAGACATATGCAAAGAAATTAACACAAACCTTTACCTCACACCATACCCAAAAATCTCCACAAGCTACCTCATAGATCTATTGTAAAAGCTTAAAAAGAAAATATAGGAGCAAATATTCATTGCGTTGAGTTAGGCAAAGAATTCTTAGCTATGACACAAAGAAACTTTGGAATCAAAAAAAATTGAGAT